CCAAGAGTAGACAGTAGATTCGACCTTAGCTAGATCTTATCACCACCCCAACGGGAATCGAATCAGGTTAGTTCAGCAAGAATTCTCTGTGTTTTCATTACACCACCCTGTTTCATGTCTCAATGCGTTGCATATCGAGAATTTACCTTGCCCTATATGTTTTGTTTCCCATTTAGCGTGCTAATGGAACCCAGGCGGGACCGAAATGATAGTGAGTCTTGGACGGATATGTACACGCGAGTAAAGTTGACTCTGCTTTTGGTGAAATGTTTGATATACCACTTCATCTACATCTATTGTAATAATTAATCGAAGTGGAAAATCGAAATTATATTTAAGTCGCAAAGCCCATTAGTGCGCTTTGCCTTATTCCTTTGTTGTTGATATTTAGCCTAGACTCCCATGTACTCAGCCACATGATTATATTAAGTAAACTTATTAGCTTTGATTGATCATATATTTGTATGGATTTTCCAATTATTTAATCGCCTAGATGTGAATGTGACTCCATATTTTACAGTAATTATTTTGAATAGACATATTTATACTTAATATAATCAATTTTTTCCTTCCTTCTTACACACATACTTCAGCCTATCCTTATAGCTCCTTTCCCACTCAAGTCGCTTCACTTTTAGCCTCGCGTGATCCAAATGCTAAGCAAGTTGTAAACCGTTCTGCTGTGCTTGCTCTGCTCACCCGAGAATTAGACGCCCGTGCCGCACCAATTACTCAGCCCTCCAGGCCCTCTGGTGCTCGGTCTCGAGTGCGAACTCGTCCCAGCCAGCCTAGAATTCGGCAATTAGTGAGACGCCCTGCGGTGATCAAAGGATCTGGGTCTGGAGAATTGGCGGTACAGAAAATACAAAAATCTCAGCAGCAACAAGCGTTCAGACAGCGCTCTAAGAACAAGGGACAGATACCATCTGTGACGGAGGATGCTGAAGATAACGATGAGGTAGAGGATATGTTGGAGGGGGGGGATGTTGTAGGGGAGGAGGACGATGAGGGGCCGAGGTTACAGACGGAAAGTGAGGGAAGCGTGAAAGTTAGCCGAAAATGTGACCAAGGGCACGGCGGACCCGCCAAACGAAGACGACAGATCCAGAAAACGCCTGTCTTTCTTGAGGCCCAGCCCACTTGGTAGGCTACGAATGTCCTGTTGGTTTTTGCTCTCTTTTTTGCTCAAGAATATAAAGAAATCGGATTGGAACCCTAGAGGCTGCATTTTGAGTTGCATGGTAGCTCTGGCTTTAGTTTATGAGGGCTGCATCGTTTTGCCCTTATTCTACATCTGTATAATTTCCGACCTATTAAGCTAATTGATTTAATTATCTTACCAATCAAATTCTTCTGTTTTATCCATTACATTACGGTGACTAAATATAACTGCTTACGACTGTCTGATGCTGACATTACAACAGGAAACATTTAGCAGTATAATAGCCTCAATCGCTTCGTCTAGTCTTGCTCAACCTCAACCTACAGGTATCAATCATTTTCATCTCCAAATCTTGGGATTTTTTGTAGATATCAATTACTTTAGTATCCTATGTTTATTTCCTTTTCAAATTTTAAAAGTATACATAACCTGAACGCCTGCTTATGAAGGTTTCCGACTGTATCTCAGCTATCTTCGTTCACCATTTTCAAAGACGGTATTAATGTGGCCTGATTTGAAATCAGTGCGCTAACCCTTGTCTTCCTTTTTACATTATTGAATGGATTTTGGACAGCAGACATCAATTGCGAAACTTATTATCTGACATAAGTGCTATTTGGTATAAGTGGACTTTCTCATATACCCTCATTAGATGTCTGAATATTGGTCACAATGAGCAAAGATTGACTGGCAAATTGCAATGCTTTTTATGAAACTATTTCGCTCTGCTTTATATCCCAAGGGCCTTTTTGCTCATTGTGGAATCGTTCTTTCTTTCCACCTAAGTGGGTAGCATCAAATAGGTGGGCCTGCTATCTCGTTCATAGTTTAGTGTTTAACCCTGTATATAAGAACCTTATGCTTCTAGCTAACCAAGTTTTTTTTTCACTAGGTGCGACAATTCAAGTATCCTTCCAAAAGAGTGAGTAATTGAAATACCATTTTATTTTTTTTATTTTCCCCTTTTCAGTCTATTCTATTACAACCACTTATTATTGATCCAATTTATCCTAGCAATCGTTACAACGATTTATACACTTAATACTGGCATAGGCACTGTTTTAGACTATTAATTTGTAACAAGCTTTAAAGACTAAACAATTAAGTATAAAAATAATAATTCTGGTTGCGTTTTGCACTAAAGTATCAAGAATTAAAAGATTTTAGGATAATCCGCCAGTTCAGGCGTGACTAACTGCCTTATAATCGATGTGGAAGACATAATATGAATTATATTTTCCTTATATTAATTACTGGTTTTTATTTAGCTACAGAGGAACTCTATAATACGCTTTAATTTTGAATTCTTGTTTTTAAATAAAAAATCTGGATTTATTCACTTCAAGAGCTCACCCTAAATGTCTCCTTAAAAGGTATAATTCATATTGAATTTTGGTCTCCTCAAATACCTGAATAAACTGTGACATGCTTTTTCAATCCTAAGAAAAATTTAGTTGGAAGGAATTAAAAACCCAGTTTTTCTGCATATATACCTCAACAAATACTATTAATTATCCCATGGATCGCTCTGCTCGTAACCTTCCATCTTCCTATAGCTTTGTAGATGGTTTCTTCTGTCTACTTCGCCTCCTTTTCGTCGAAGTGGCCAGACAGGTTACTTGCTCCGCCGGTGCTACTTCCGAACTTCAAGATCCAAATGGCGGCTTTTCAGGCATGTCGACTAATGATCTGGCTAATCTTGTTCGCCAGTGGAGCCAAATACCTGAAGCAAGAAAGGCAAATTACAGTTGGATCAGACGGGTAATTTGGAACTTTTTGGCAAGCTCTTGATTAAATATTTTTCTTACTTTTATAGAATTTTGTTTCTAAGTCACCTATATGCATCAATTCCAATAGGTTACTAGATACTCTTCGATTAATCATACTGATAACTACTGTGCGTAGTTAACTTCTCAGTGCATATGGGTTTCTGAAGCCTTTTTAAGAGAATGTAGTTTATTTATTTTTGGGTCAAAATTTTATTTGACATCTCGATCAATTGTAAATCAAGTGTATGCGAAGAAAAGTTGGGTTACGGTGAATCTCTTGTATCATAATTGTTGGGCTTATTTTCATTTCGAGTTAAAATGTTTGGTGAAGTGAATCGAAGGTCGACCCCACCAGAAGACGACGGAAGATTTCTTTTAACCAGCTTTCGATTGTCTTTACTGAAATATTCTTGTTGACATTGTTTCTGAGGCAATCTATTTTGATTTTGGTGAAAAATTGCTAAGCTTTCGACAGTTAGTCGAGAGGAATCCGCTATCATCTTCTGGTGGGATTGCAAATCAAATCGTTTGGCCTTTTTTCGCACATTGCTTGTGTTGCCAGAGTTCATTTATTTACACTACAGCGAGAGGAGATTGCAACTATAGTGACAGCCTTTATAGTTTTGATCGTATATTTAAATTATTATTTGTTTTACAC